AGTTTACTATTTGTGGGTAAAGAATGACATAGAAACTATTGCTAGGCCTTTACACCCCATTGCTGTAGATATCCAGGAGAAAAGTAAGCCTTATCCACAGACATATACAACTACATCTTGGATCCTAAACATAATATCCAGAAGTGACAATGAATCTGTGATACGTTCCTCAGTGTCTATCCAACTACCTGTTGAGGAATGGGTCACTGTAGCCCAGTGCTCTGTCTGTCTTCTGTTGTAGGAGTGTTTTGTAATTGGTTACATTCATCCTAGCAATCATATTGTGGCAATGCCCATAACATGGACTCCAAAAGCCCAGTATACCCACTGGCCCCAAAAGTTGGGAAATCCTGTACTACATTTCTCAGTAACTGTAATGTTCTGGAAAATATAGCAATTTGAAATCAGTATGATGCTAAACAAAAATATGCAATATGAAGTCTGTTTGGATTGTGGGTTTCTATCTTGCTATTACATGTTTTCAGCTCCCAATAATGAGTCAAGTTCTGATTCATAGAAGTCACTTATTCATGGCAACACTATAACCAAATAGATTCTCAAGTTAAAATAGCATCATTCTTTTCTTCAGTTGGCAAATGTTGGAGGGCAGAGTCTACCATATATGGTTTCCTCCAATCTTTAGCATTTTGATCTTCAGAATTATGCCAGCTATTGTTATATGGTTATATTAATTAATTTACGGGTATGCAAAAAGAAAAAAGATGGTAATTCACAGCCTGGTTAGAGCACATGCAAATCAAAGAAGCCAAAAATCCATGTAACATGTTTCCATCTGCGTTCTCATCTTTTGTAAATGTTCTACAAACGTTCACAAATTTGTTCCTCACCAAGACACAACACACATATTCTTTATATAATGGTCCTTGGAAATAAATATATTAACCAACCAAGGTAGCATCCCACTCAAGGTTATTACTCTCATGCATGCTTTACTTCCATCATATACTACTTTGATCACATTCAGCAACCATTCCTCAGCTCTCTAGTCATACAAAGCACTCCATAATTCAAATCTATTCTCTTTATCACAGGTTTTCTCTAGATCAACAAATGTTCAATAAACATTGCCACATTTCTCAATGACCTGTTGCAGAGCAAAACTCTGGTCTGCACACGCCCTGCCTGGGATAAAGCCACACTGCACTTCCTCTTGTATCCTTTTGATCAGACGTTCCAGGCACATTTAACTAACCCTGCTATAGTTTCTGCATTTCACTCTTGGCTAACTTTCCCTTTACAGTGAGAAATGATGACAGCATTCTTCCAATCATTAGGCACAGGCACAGATCTAGTTTTCACAAATATGGTAACCAAATCCCAGACCTAATTCAAAAGCAAATTACATCCGTATTATAATATTTTTCCAGTTGCATCATCTACCCTGCAGCCTTACTGTTTTTCAGTACTCTCACCTGTTATGACTTCCTTTTCATCATTTTTTTCTTGGACATTATCATTTATACCATTCATTTCTCTTCCACTCTTTGACATATCATATCACTTCCACACAAATATCTAAAATAGTCTTCCTAACATTCCTTCAATTCAGTTTCATCTCAAATAAAGGTAATTTTATTTTTAATTCCATTCACTTTGCTGGTGGCTCCTCTTTTAGCCCTCTTCACCCACCTCCAAATCAATTGTTTATTTCCATCTAAATTGTTCCACATTTTCTTTGCCTCTTTTAATCTTAACTGTTCCTTGCTAATTGCAACTATCCTTTTCTCTCTTATACAATGTTTTTCTCTTAGCCTCATTTTTGCAACATTTTTAATGCATTTTTCTAATCTACAACCTTTTTCACTCCATCATTCCACCAAGTATCCTTTTTCATACCTCCCATTTGTTTAACTCCACACACATCTCTGGCACTCTATAACATTTTTTCAGTAGTATCCCAAGCAGTTTCCACATTCTCTTTTTTACCTTTTCTATTCCTTTCATTGGGAGTTTAATCTATCTTCTAATACTTTTCCACACACAACTTGTATTTTCTCTTCTTGCAGTTGTTCTACCGTCACTCTAGTTTCTTTCATTTCTTTATTTTATTTTATGTTCACTTCCCCTCAAAAGGTGCACTCCTGGCACTAACAAATATTGTTATATCCTATATGCAGAACCCCTCAGCATCCTTGTATCCTTCACTAATTTTCTTAATATTCATAATAAATAATTATTCATGTCTCCTAACAGTAAATTTCCCACCGTCCTTATCACATCCATATTGATGGTTGCACAATTTCCTCCAAATTCATTCCTAATCCTTCCACTGTTACTATTTATTGGAATATAGCATGCAGCTATCACCAACCTATGAACTCCTACTTCCATACATCCCCACAACAATCTAGAAACCAATTCATATTTTCCAACATCCATATGAACTCTTTCATTCATAATTAAACTATATCTTCATTTCCTTGCATATATTCATCAGTTTCACTGCTCAGGATCAGACCATCTTCATTCACATACATTATGTTCTTTCCTCTTTCTCTTAGTTTCCCAAATATACAACATATCTGTTTTTCTTTCATTTCATTGTTAATTTGTTTTTTTACCATCTATTCCCTTCCATTCCAAGTCACAACTTCCATTTTCCATGGTCATCACCATGTAGGCCCAGAGATACTGATCTATGTTGCTTATGGCTTTGGTCAATCAAGGATTTCTCATAATGCTTTTCAGTAAGATAGAGTTTCATCAAGCTACCAGGTTTAGTCATACCCATGCCTCATGGAATATGCTCTGTTAATAGTAAAGACAGTACCAGTCAACTCTGATGGATTTTGTTCAGCATGCTACAAGTACAACAAAGCTTAGTTTTACCCCAAGTATGCTTACACAATCCTAGGCAAACTAGGTTCTCTGCTCTACAGAGTACCTTGCAAACCGACATACTGTTGTTCTCATCCCACCAGCAACGAGGTCTTTGAAGTGAACCAATACATAAAGCACTTCTGTCTATCATCATTTTTATTTATATGAATGCCTCTAGATATTAAATGGGCCCGGTAGGCGTTCTTAATAAAATATAAATGATGGATAGCTACAGTCTAGTGAATTGGTTGAAACAGCAGCTACTTGCTAAGAAAAAAAAAAGGACAAAAGGAAGCAAGGGATTGATTCTGGAACACATAAGAAGAGCTTTTGGAGAACCATCTAAATTTTCTTATGGGGATTGGTTTGTTTGATTGTTTGTTTGTTTGAATGGGTAGCTATGCTCAATTGTGGCAATCTTTTTATGGACATATCCATTACATGGTTTCAACATTCCAAATACTCCTATTGTCTATTCTTGCCCTGAACCAATGAAACCAACATTTTTAGAATCCAAGATTAGACTAGAATCTTATGTATCCTTCTTTGAGAGTACCCCAATGTATCTTCCTTAGTAAACATGGATAGGATTGGATTGTGCTGGTCAAATACTTTACATTCTTAAAAAATGGCATGCTTGGTAAATGTTTATAATTTCATACTCTCTTTTTATAGGGCTAGTATAGTCCCTGTATCCATACATCCCCCAAGTGCCAAGGAAGAAAGGATTTGATCTTGGCAGGCTTTGTTTTAAAGGCAGGAGACAATGTAAGGAAAAAGCGTTGCATACTTCATGTCCTTTCAGCCAGTCGTAGCATGAGCAATGATCTAGAATACCTTTTTAAGGTTAGACACATAATAAGAAGGGATCTCTAGCACAACACATATTTTTCTTCCAGAGAAGCTCAAGAATAATGTATACCCTTTAGAGGAGAAACGAGTATTAATTATCACAAAGTATAAAGCAAGGCTTTTATTAAATGAGTGATCAGAAAAACATTCAGGGCAGGCTGCTTTCCAAACAAATGATCTTTTCCCTGTTTTTATTAGTTAGAAAACATGATAGGGAAAATGAACACATTTATTCTTGTCACAGGTTCAAAAATACAATTTGTCAAGGACTAGCCCTATCATTTGACAGAGTGAGGCAGTTGCCAGGCAATGCAAAGAGGTCTGAATATAAACAGTAAGCTATCTTCACACACGTTTTGCTCAGTTGCTGTATTGAGCCATTTTCGGGGTATGCACAATACATTGAACCATAAACAAACCCACAGAGCTGGGTTGGAACAATACACCAAACTTAAAAAACAAAGGGGAATCAACTGTATAAAGGGAACTTACAATCTTTAACTGACCTGGTTAAGCATGTTTTCTGAACACGATCCTACCTGGCCTTCATTCTACGCTAGCCTGTTGTTCAAAGTTGTATGGGAATGCCGAAGTCAGATTCTGGACAGTTTTTGTATGTGAAATGGGAGACATCCTCCTGGCCTTTACTTCAGGCAACAAAATGCTTTGAGCCAGCCCTATAAAAAAGACTTCTAGATGTTAATAAAATAAGATTCCCCCCCCCCCATTATATCCAATATGCCATAATGTTGTGTTAAAATAGGTAAGATTTGTCTCTCTCCTACACAGAAAGCTACATGGCTGATAGCATTCCCTTCA